ATTATTGAGGTTAGTGGCTATTACTCCTAGTGTTGTGAATGGTTTGCTTTAAATAAACATTTATATTTATATGAAACATACTTGAATAACATCTTGAATAACTTGAACAACAATCATATTGTGAAAAATTAAATATCTCACAATAACCTTAAAAATAGTAAATGGGAATCCTTGACTAAGTATATTTTCTAACTGGGAAAATACATGTGCAGATACATTTATACTTATTATGTTATTCTTTCATGTATACTTCTTTAAATACCTGCCAATATATTAGAAAAAAACAGGGGGAGTCTCATGTATTAAGTTGATGGAATAGTATTAATAATTTCTATTTAAAAATACATTTGCCACTAAAATAAATTTTTGTTGTGATCATCTTTGAATTCTATCAAGTGGAGAGATGAAGTTACTAAATGTTATGACTTAAGAATAACAGAAAAGCTGTATTCATCCTTTCATTCATTTGCTCTTCGTAGCCGTTACATACTGTCAGTGTCTATCCTATGCTAGAGATACACTCAGTCATTTAGTGTGTGTATATATATATGTGTGTGTAAAAATATATTTATACACAGCAAACATATACTTATATGTGTATATGTATATACTTGGTATATGAATGTAAATGTACAAATTAATACATTGCCTTTAAGTCCATTCCAACTCACAGTGCTTTACAGGACAGAGTAGAGCTACTCTATATGGTTTCCAAGGCTGTAATCTTCGTCCTGTCTTTCTATCATGATGCCACTTATAAGTTTTGAACTGTTGATCTAAAGTAGCAGCAAAGCATATGTGTAGCTGTTATTACGTGCTGTCAAGTGGGCTGCAAGACATGGCGACCCTATGAACAACAGCTCTGAACCTTGCCCTATACTGGGCCAACTTCACTTCCCAGACATGTCTGGGCTCATTGCCAAAGTCACTGTGTCAATCCATCTCATCCAGAGTCTTCCTCTCTGGTGCTGACCCTCTACCCTTCCAAGCATGATGTAAGATGGAGCTTCAAAATCATTGTGTCCGAGGAGTATCCTGGTTTCACACTCTCAAAACAGAACTGCACTGCCAACCCAAATGTACGAGGTTTGATTCCACCGGCTGCTCTGCAGGAGGACAGGAAACCTCCTCTAGTGCAATTTAGGATGTGATTAACTGCCTCTGAAAACCAGCTGCAGGGTCAAATATGGGGCAATTCCAACTTGACGGCACACAGTAACAATGTATATTGTTATTGACCCATAGCTGACCTTGGGCGGGTTTTCAGAGACGGTTAATCCCTTCCTTTAATTGCCGATACTTCTGCAGAGCAGCTGGTGGCCTCAAACCACATTCCTTTGGATTGCAGCACAGCTTCTTGCCAGTAGGCCACCAGAGCTCTCTCAAGTATATATGCATATCATTATTTAGTTATAGAAAATTAGTAGAATTAACTAAACGTCCTGTAAAATTTGTCACAGAACGAAGGTGGAATATTGTGCAAGAAAGTTTCTTGGAGGAAGTTGGTCATGACCTAGACTAAAGAGAAATAAGATAAGCCAAGAGGAAGAAAACAAAACAAAAACAAAACTACAAAACTTTTTGTAGTTGACCTCAAAATAATGTTATTTTTTAATAGTGTTAATTTTCCCAGGGGATATTATTATTGCTGCAGCTCAACAGAAACCATAGTGCTCAGTGTAGAAAACACCAATAAACTTGGAAAAGAAGAACTAGTTACTGAGCCCAAGCGATC